TGGGTTGGTGCTCGTGGGGCTGCTTGTGGTGCTGCTGGTGCTGGTGCTGCTGCTGGTGTTGCTGGTGATGCTGGTGATGCTGATGGTGGTGCTGCTGGTGATGCTGGTGGTGCTGCTGGTGCTGGTGCTGCCGGTGATGCTGCTGTTTCATCCTGAGCATCACAGTGGGTCCTGAGTTGTCCACGGCAGCATCAAGAGGGCACAAGAGGCGTTGCGTTGTGCCTGCCTGGTGTTTTCCAGGTGTGATGTGGAAAACTGAGCAGATGCAGAAAAGTGACATGTGCGGGTCCTGGCGGGTGCCAGCTGGCTCCTTTCTGTGGCTGCTGGACCCGTGCGGCAGATATGGGTTTCTGTCCTTGCTTGATCTGGGGTGGGGGGGATGTGTGTGCTGTCCTGCTGCAGGGCTCGTCCTGTCATGTGGAACCTCCCTGAGCTTCCCACGCCAGCGCCCCAAACTGGGCTGTTTCGGGGAGAGGTTTTGTTCCCCACTGTCCATCCATCTTTGCCTGACACTTTGGGATGACATTGCAGGTAGATGTCAAAGCAAAAGTCGCTGTTCACGACGGGTGGATTGAACTGTACATAGCCATGCTGTGGAAAGTGTTTGCAAACAGTTCTGAAACACTCCTGCACACCTCTTCCCTCCGTCTGCCCTGGGGGTAATATTTAGAAAAAAACAAAACCTTTTCCAGTGGAGGTGGATGTGCAACTTTGACCAGTGCAGAAACCTTCCAGTGGGTGCTCTGCCGTGAAGGCTGGCAAGGGAAGGATGCGCAGACCCTGCTGCTTGGGGGAGAGGTGTGCTGCTGCCCGGGGGAGTGTGGAGACCACCCCTCTCCTCTCCACCCTACAGGTCCTCTAACCTTCTGCCAGGCACCCGGTCCTGCCTGCCCGAGCCAAGTGGGATGGAAGCACACCAGACCCCAACTTGCCCCTCTTTTCAGTTTGTCCTTCTCGGTCTTACCAGGGAGTGTAGTGACAGGACAAGGGGCAATAGCTTTAAGCTGAAAGAGGGGAGATTGAGATGAGATCTGAGGAAGAAATGTTTTCCCGTGAGGGTGGTGAGGCAGTGGCCCAGGTTGCCCAGAGAAGCTGTGGATGCCCCATCCCTGGAGGGGTTCAAGGCCAGGCTGGATGAGACTTTGAGCAACCTGGGTTAGTGGGAGGTGTCCCTGCCCATGGCAGGGGGTGGAACTGGATGGGCTTTAAGGTCCTTTCCCACTGTAACCAATAAAATAAAAAAATAAAAATAAAAGATATTCCTGGTTTCACGTGTCTATGTTTTCTCTCCTGCATGCCATGGCAGTGGTGCTCCATGCTGATGCGGCAGTGCGTGGTACAACCGCAGGCAGTCATTTTTCAGGTAATTTCTAGGGTACTGAACACCCGACTCTTGCTTTTTTCACCTAACAAGCAGCAGGTCAGGCTTCCCGCTGCACGGGGAGGGACCCCTGCCCGTGCCCGGTCACCCCAGTGCCAGTGCCAGCCATGTCCCTGCTGCTTTGCCATGTGAGCCATGGCCACAGAGGTGGATGTGACACCAGGGTTACTCCTCCAGCGGAGGAGGCAGGGGGTCAGCAGCCGGGGTTGCCTCCTGTCCTGGGCATGCTGTGCTGGGGTCTGGAGCAGCGGCGGCAGTCAGCATGTGGTCAGTGTGGCAGATTGCTGATGGATACAAGAAGGGATGTGGGCAGAGTTATGCCATGGGAAGAGGGAAGTGGCGTGGAAATCCCTGAAAATCGCACTATTTGGGAAGAGTTACTGGGCTGTCACAACAGAGGCACAGCTCCTCCTGCAGCAAGCTGTTGGGACCTAAAGCTGTGAGGGACCCAGGCCTCCATCTCTCATGCCTCTGTCTTCTTGTCCCGTGGTGTGATGTCATGCAGGTGATGTCATGGAGGTGCAGTGATGGAGGGGAGGTGATGCAGGCAGGTGAGATGACCTCTGTGCATTGCTCCATCCCCCCCTAGTGGGGTGATGTGGAAGACAGGGGGTACCACCATCCTGGCCCCCGTCAGGATGTGCTGCACCCCCCATAGCTGCTGCTTCTCACTTGGAAGCGGGTCTGTCCCTCCCAGCTTGAAGGGCCGAGGTTGCAGTTCATTGCTGTGGTGGGCTTGGATTGTTGCAGTTCAGATGCAAGACCTGTCCTGCTTCCACCCATGTCGGTCCCTGGGATCCAGCAGGGACATGAGCTGTGGGGTTTCGATGTCTGCAGCCTGCTCCAGGTGCCAGTGTTGGGGGTTTATAGGCAGGGGCTTGGTCTGGTCCTGGTTGGATTTGCGCAGGGAGAGGCAGCCCCCCAAAAGCCACTTTTGGAGTTTGAAGACCCCTGCCCAATGCGTGGCATGGCTGGAGGCTTCCTCCCAAGCTGCAACGGGCCAGCTCCCCCATCATAAGCTGAAACCCAGATTCCCACCCTGCCCAAGGGGACTGGCATGCTGCGGGAAGATCCAAGGAGATTTTCTAGTCTGGATATGGCTTTCATAGAGCAGTAGGGGTGAAATAAGGCGACATTCCCCAGGGGGCAGTATGCAATCTGCTCTGGACATCAGAAATAGCGAACAGCAGCGCACAAGGGTGATTTTATCTCTGCTGCAGTGGTCGTGCATCACCAGCTGTGCAGGATGTCTCAGCTAGGCCATTGTCCCTTTGGTGTTTTGTCAGATCACGGCTTTGGGAAGCAAAAAAAACCCGGTACTGCTGCTGCACGTGCATATACACAGTGCTGTGGGAAGGCTGAAAAACACACCTTGGTAGGGGGTGGAATGAGAAGAAGGAGCTTTGGTTGCACTTCGAAGGAGAAGGGCTGGGCTATGGGGGGAGCACAGGAGATGAGTCGTTGCTGGGGAGGACCCGTCAGTGCTGATCTGTGTGGCCAGCAAAGGGACAGGGTGGCCAGTGGCTGGTCACTGGAAAAATGTGTTTGGCACACTCATCTGCAAGAGGTGTGCATGAGGGATCAAGCTCCATACAACCTTGTCTAGTTGGGAGGTGTCCCTGCCCACGGCAGGGGGTTGAAACTAGATGATCTCTAAGGTCCCTTCCAACCCAAACCATTCCATGATTCTGTGATGCTTCGAGAGTTAGGTGGTGTTGGGTTGACGGTTGGACTTGATGATCCTTGAGGTCTTTTCCAACCTTAATGATTCTACGATTCTCTGATTCTGTGATGTAGTTGTACCTTGCGCAGATTGCATCCTCAAAGGAAATGTATGTATTAATGCAGACCTGCTGATGCGGGGTTATGCGGTTATCCATGTAAAATATCTTCTGTTTGAGCAAGAACTGAGCAGCAGAGACACAAACAGATCTATCTGACCCAAAGTGCTCGTGGTAAATACCAGATTTTGTGCTGGGTTCTTGGATGCCTCTGAGAAACCTGCAAGAGGGAGAAGGATGTGTTTGCTCAGATCAGCTTTTGGTGTCGTTAAAAAGAAAAAAAAAAGTGAACTTTTTGATTTGGTGAGTCAAAAAAATCAGGGATCCTGCATTGCTTCAGCTCTGCACAGCTTCTGCATTGACTCAGTATCCAGAAATGCAGCAGGGATGAGCCTCAAAGAGGTTGTTCTGCAGTTTATCTGTTCCTATTGCTGTTCTTCACTTGAATTCTCATCCTCTGGTTGTTACAGGCGTGATCTCACAAATAAGGGATTAAAAGTTAAAGAGCAAATAGCAGCAGGGAGGGGAGAGCTTGGAAATTAAACTTTTTGTGTGGATGATCCTGACAATAAGAAATCAACGGAAAAAGGCAAATGAAGATAAGCTTTCTGCCATGTACATGGAAGGATGTATGGATTGGCCTCACCTGCCGTAGATTGCCATAGCTGCATGGACTTTTACAGGGTTATGGGGCTGGAACAGTCTGATTTCTGAGGACCTGTGCTCATTTACAGTAGCTTCGGCTAATGAGATTAAAAAATTCCCACGAGATGGGCATTACAGCATCCATGTGATTTATTTTTAAATAATTTGGATTTAGGAACAGTTGGCTGCAAACCCATTCGTTAAGCAAGTGCTTTTGTTTATGTGCGCTTGAATGCAGCATTCCCAGGAGAAGGTGGGAAAGGGGACATGCCGTTCCCACCTGGTCGTTAGTCTGTGTCTTCAAGTGCTACCACTGAAATAAGGGGAGTTCAGTTGACTGGCACAGACGTTCTCTAACAGGCAAGAAACTTGCGCTCAGCAGTTACAGCCCCCAGCTGCTCTGCCCCCAGCAGAATTTAGTCTTGTTATATATTGATGAGTTTGGCTTTGGTTTTGTAAAGAAACCCCATTTTGGTGTTCTCTGAGAACATTGGAGCATTATCGAGCATTTTGAATGCTTAACAACCCCAGGTAAATGGGTATTGCCTTTAAAACTGACTGAACAGAGATTTTTGACTTCTGTATTACATCCACTTTTTTGTCATACAGGCAAAAGCTCTTGAATAGTGAATTTATTACTGCTAAAATGCCTTTTGGTTTTTTTACAGGCAACTGAGTACTCAGCCATGGCATCGTTAGCTGGTGGATTAGACGACATGAAGGCCAATATCACCAGCTCTGCTTCTGCGGATCTGGGAGCCAGTGTCCCCGGGCCTCAGTCATACCCTATTGTCACAGGTAAGCGATTCTCCAGTGCCCATACGTGGTGTGAAGCGTGTGTGTGCACATTGCAAAGTGATGCCATTTGTTGATGAGTTGCGTCAGATGTGGAATAATTTACTCAAAAAGTCTCTTTTTAGCTGCGGTTTCATAGTACCTCTGTTGCAAGTCTGGTCCATGGCTTGTATAATCAGTAGTGTTCCCTGGGAGCCAACGGATGAAGAATCATCCCTCTTGTCCAGGGAGGGGTAATGCTTCTCCACCCCAAACCTACTGCACTATGCTCATGGTCTTTGTTGCTTGTTTTTTGTAAAGGTGCCTGGCACGTTTGACTGGATGGGGTTTTTATGACCGTTCAAACTTGCTTGAATTTTGGATGCTTTTGATGCCTACAAATGCTCATGTTCTGTACCAGTTCTGGAACTGTGATTGTGCACGAGGGCTGAGCGTTTAAACAAAGAGCAAAGGTTGTTTGTTCAAGGAGAGCAGAATTGTCTGCATTTATGTGGCAGGCACAGGGTGAGAGTTGAGGAATGGATGGAATTAGATAAAATCCTTTGGCTGGTTATTTGGGACTGATCACATTGCTTGGAAGGAGGTTGCCCAGATGGTAAGAAAATGATGAAATTGTGTACCAAAGCAATTGTGGGAGTCAGAAAAAAGGGATTTTAAAATCTAAGGGTTCTGTGTTTCTTGTGTTTTTTTATCTCTGTGTATTACTGCTGTCCTTGCATCTAATCTGTGCAGATTTCATCACTGGATTTTCTCTGTTTTGCAAAAGATTGGATTTACTTGTTTATTTTGTTGCTAAAATGGAAGGTGATGCTGTGTTTAGTACAGTAGTATCGTATCTTGAAAGCACGACAATCTCTTGTAGCAGGTGAGCAGTTGTGAAAACAAATGTTGTTACAAAATTATTTTACCCCAATGTGGCATCAGTCTTTGGCTCTTCTTGGCAGAAGTTTAGGAATATTCAAATGAAGTTAGAGTTACATGAACCGTAAGGAAATCCATGTTTACTTAAAAGTGGGAGGGGAGAGTTGTTGAAATGACTGTCAGGTGATAGGTAGGAGGTTCAAGACGTAGACTCATAGATAAGAAGGATGTCTAGGGGTGGGAAGATGGACAGACGGAGAGATTTTTGGATATTTGTGGCTTATAACAGGTAGAAAGAGAAGGCATATATATAAAAAAGTAGGAACATGTCATGTTTGGGGTCATAAGGCACCCATACAGCCTATGAAAGTTAAAAGGAATGTCTCCTCAGGCAAATTATTCTGTAATTGTTTGCTATGGAGCTCCCTGCGTCTTGCTTTGAAGCTTGCTCCTCATTGCAGAAGACCCAGGCTGCCTTGGCTCATCACAAGTGTCCTGTTGCCCTTCTTTCACCTTCTGGGAGTTTGTCTCTTGCTCATCTGAGTCTGTGTCCGCATGATGCGCACGATGCTCTTATTGGCTCTTATGCACCCAGCAGCAGCTGGGACTGGAGCATCGCTGGCTGGGACGCTCTGCCGGGGAGCATCCACAGCTCACCATGCGAGATGGGAACTGCTGGGAGACGTGTCTTAAGGGGAAAACCAGCTAGGCAAGATGATGGAGAAGCTGAGTGCTCCCTTGCTCCTGTCTTCTGCTAAGGACCTGCCTATCCAATATTTGCTCCTGGCCAAAGTTGGATTCAGACAAAGGCTGTTGTTTGGTCTGATACTTCGGCAGAGCTTGGTCTTTTATGCTGGTTTAAGCACTTCTCGCGCTTCTTACGTTACTACTTTCTTTGGTGAGCTGACAGAGCACGTCTGTTAGAGCAAAACTGGCTGCAGAAATGACGCTGTGGAGCTCGTTATGGATTTCATGTGGGTCCTCCCTGTGACGTAAACTTCACTTGAGAAAAAGTCCCAAATATTAAATTTATTAATTCTCATCAAAGACATGGAGCAGGCTCTGTGAGCAGCAAGCCTAGAAAAAACCTGCCATTGGTCCTAAATGTGACAGGGTGATCGCTGTGACAGGACACGTTTCACAAGGCATAGGTATTTATATCTTAATTTGATGTTGCTGTAGAGTTTTCTAACACCTGCATTCATAAAAAGTAGATTTACACGAGTGTATCAAAACCTATGCCTTTTGATATATTTTTGGATGTGATTGTCTGACTGTTATTTTCCCTTTTGCTCTTGTAACACCTGTAGCAACTGTTTTGTGCTGGCTATGCTCTGGGAGCACCAGAAGCCCCCGACATAATCTGACCCCTATAGCGCTGGGCACGTACCATACATCCGAGTCATGCTCTCTGTCCTGAGGCTTTCCCTGGGAGCTGAGGGGATGTGCAGACCGTCAGGGAAGGAAGATTTAAGCAGCAAGGCATAGTTAGCGATGTGCAAGGCATGTATATTATGGCACACTTGGTGATGCATTTCTCACCATAGCTCTGGACAAAATTCTCCATTTTCTCCCCGGAATTAACTCACTTTTTCAGTCACACCTCTTTTCACACCCCGTTTCCTTTGTGGGGCAGGGGATTCAGAAGAGAAGACACATTTATTGACCCTTTGTGATCAAAAGCTGCATATTGCTGCTGGCCTTTTATCTGCAGTAGATATCACTGAAAATTGCAGGGAACTGGGCAATGATGCACAAATGGTGGGTATGGGCGTGAGGTCCAACAAATGTTTGCTAACGCATCATGTACTCTGCCTTCTTTTTTGTTGTCTGTGGTCTGACCAAAACTATGGTGAAATTTTGTGGTTTAGTGTTCCTAAGCTGGGGCCTGGGTGGGTGAGGACAGGCAGTGGATAACAGAAGGCTAGTTGGTCTCATCCCCGCTTTGGTGGCCAAGAATGGACTTGAGAGAAGTCCTGCCAGAACCAGGTCCTTGTCCTGGACCTCGACTCCTTGTCTGTCAGGCAAGAGCCTGAGCCTTGCAGATCCCTCATGATGTTTCTCCTGCGAACTGCTTCTCGCTGGAGGAGGAACTCCAACCTTTTCTTGAGGATCAGAAAGTTGAATTGCTTTTCATTTCTTCACCCTTTTTTGAGTGTTTCCACTCTTTCTTGCTGCTTATCCTGTGATGTGTCCAAGCAAACTGAGGGACAGAGACCAAAAGCCTTGGAGGATGACTTGTTTGGGTTATGCTAGCCCATGTGTTTTCAGCTGTGAAAGTGAGGAGTGGCTGGATAAAACTGCACAAAAAGTCCAAAGTCTGTGTCCAGGGGTGCTAATGGCTTGAGAAGCCAAATTCACTTCTCAGTTGACATTCCAGAGCATAAACACTTTTGTAACAGCTTCACTGTCGTGAGACCAAGAGCTGCTTAAAATACTGGCAAGTGATGGTAGCATCCAGAAGAGTCTGTTGGTGGGAGATGCTGTTTTTACCAGGAGCTCTTTGGTATGCGTGAAGCCGAGCTGTGAATGTGTGATCGCACGATACTTCAAGAGACGGGGGCTATCGGCAGGAGTAGGGCTGAAGAGCTGCATTTCTAGGGGTAAAGACCTTGAAATACAACATACAGGGGTCTGAGCCAAGAGCACTAATGTCGTTTTGATGGCTAGTGTCTGCTGTTGGAGCTTCATCAGTTTTCGTAAGAAAATTTGGAAACTCTCTGGGCTGCCATTTGTGAAGGGACCTAAGTCTAGTTCTTTTTGCCAGTCTGAAGTCTGTAAGACAGATCGTAAAAGAATTTAATGCAAATAAAGCTGAGAATGGAGGTCCTGAGTGAATGATGATGAAAGCCGTTCATTGTTCTTGTGGCCGGGCTGCGGTGTGGGCAGCAGAGCAGTCCTGAGGGTTGAGATGGAAAAGATCCTCTGTGATCTGTTGGTAGAAAATGTGAGATTTCTATTTCTTAGCAAGCTGGTAGATCAAAATGTTTGGGATACTTTTTGAAGACTAAAGGATTGTTTAAACATTGGCATTTCTGCCAGCACTTGCTGCTAGAATATGTCTAAGGAAAAATGCAGTGAGAGTTCTCAGTACTGCTTCATCCACCAGCTCCGTTGTGTTATGGACCACCAGCCAAACCTCTGATGAGAGAACCACTCAATTTCTCTGCATCGTTTCTATCCCACATTAAATATTAAGTTAAAAAAAAACAAAAACAAAAACCAAAAACCAACCAGCCTTCCCTTGCTGCTGGCTGGCATGGTCCCTGAGTGCTCTCTCCATTCACAAGCCAATAACATGTGCCCAGCTCGTTACTGCTGGGCTCAGCAGTTTCCAGCCAGCCCCTGATTGTTACTAATTACCTGCAGATGCATTTTCCCTGCTCCGGCTTGCTGATTTCAGTGTGGTCAGTATCACTTTGAGAGGACAAAGTCGTGCTGAACTGACACCTCTGCGCGGCTCTTGGATTGACGGACTCACGGCAGCCCGGCTGCAGAGTCAGTTTGCATTAGGAGAGCCGGGACCAGCTGTCGGATGGGCTGGAGACACACGTTTCACTGCGGTTGGATCTGACATGAGCTCCGTATCTCTCCATTAAAAGTGCAGAGACAAGCGTTCGCTGTGGGCTTTGGTTTTGTTCCTCTGGCAGATGTTGGAGGGAGCGAGCGTGGTCTTCTCCCATGCTGGGACATCTCCATCGCAGCTTGCCTCCTTTTGCCCGCTGGCTCTTCCAGCGCTCTCTGAGATGCTCTGTCTTCCATCCCGCTGCAGCTGCACCAATGCCGTACAGCCTGTGGCACATTTTGCAGCTCACACACCTGTGCAAGAACAGACAGAGACTTTGCCAAGCGCAGACAAATGATTCCTTGTCCTCCTTGCTCAGCCTTGTAACCGCACCACGGAAGCAGAGTTACCTGATGTGCTTCTTTGTGGGGTCAGCCTTGGAGACTGGTCCTGCAGAGCCAGATGTGTTGGCTTTTCTGTGCATTTTGCGTGCACAACAAAAAGGTAAGAAGAAACAGAACAAAACCAGGACCAGAGTCAGCTCATCTGGAGAGATGGGGAAGGAGAGACATTCTCAGTCAGCTTGGAGATCTTGCTTTGGAGGACTCGGCCACCAGATGCGATGGATCCCAGACTT